GTCAGGATGGGACAGGGGCAGCAAAGGCAGCCCAGGAGGAGCCGGACAGGATGCAGCTGCTGAGGGTCTAGCTGCAGCGGAGTCGTCCCTGGGAGCCTGGCTCCAGTCACTGCCAGACTTTGCCCTAGGGGATGGCTCCCGGGGAGGGAGGTGCATTCTCCAAAGGGAAGGCAGCCTGGTGGCCAGTGGCCGAAGGTGACCTACCCAGGAAACCAGCGTGACCTTTGGAAATCCCTGAACTGTGAGGTGACGTTCTCGGCTGCACGAGGTCCTTTCCCACCTCCTCTGAAGACCACTGGGCTCATCATTCAGGGAGAGGAGCAGTCCGGGCCACCCCTCGTTGGGGGACTAGCCTCGCTCGCACACTTGGTGGCCCTCCAAGGTTCCCAGTCGCCACTGGCAGATCCCCGCCTCCGGCACCTGGGGGACTTGTTCAGGTGGCCGGTTCTAGGGCCCAGCTCTGGAGGATTCACGCAGCATGGGTGACCCCGGAACCTCGTCCCCGACACGTCCCCAGGGATTCCAGTGTCCAGGCCCGCGCCGTAACAGCGTGTCCCCAGCCACCGAACCACGAAGACCCAGGCACAAGGAGAGGGAGCAGGAGAAAGCACGTCCCACCCGCCAGTCACCCGCTGCCCCAGGGGGTCACCCGCGGCACTGGCCTCCTGCAGGAAGGAGGTGGCGCTGGGCTGGGAGCCCAGGATGGCGGCTCTGGCCTCCAGCGCGGGCTCCAGACCCTGCTGACTCCCCGCAGCCGCCGGGCTCCCCGTTAACCCCCAGGAGACCCCGCCAGCGCCCCACCAGCGCACCTGCCTGTCCCTCGCCTCCCCCTGCCATCGCCTCCCCGGGGGAGACTAGCTGCCACTTCCTCCAGGAAGCCCACTGGTGGTGGCTTGAGCGCTTTCCTGAACTTGTCGTTTTAGAAAACCCTGGTGTTGTCTGTCTGTCTGTCTCTGTGTCTCTGTCTTTCTGTCCCCCCACTTCTCTTTCTCTCTCACACACACACTCACACACACACACAATGAAATCTAACTCTTAAAACTCTTGGGCTGGCTGGGGTGAGGCTCAGCGGGAGGGTGCTGGCCTGGCGGCAGAGGCACCGGGTTCCACCCTCAGCACCACATAAACATGAGACAGAGAGATGGTGTCCACCTACACCGTGAGAGTAAACTATTTTAATAAAACGTTGCGTGTGCCGCACAGTTGACTCCAGCAGGACCGTCAACAGCAGATCTCTAGAAGCCCTCACTCCTGCCCAGCTCCCCTCGCCCGCGGCCACTCCGCCCTGCTCTGTCTCTAGGAGTTTCACTCCTTTGCACACCTTTGTGTAAGTGCAATCGGAGGCGGAAATGACCTACATGTGCATCGAAGGGTGGAGAGAATGGGGTCCATCCCCGCGATGGAATGTTCGCAGCCACAAGAACAAGGGGGATCCGACACCAGCTGCCATGGGCTGACCTGGGGGACGTTGTGCCCACTGACAGGAACCAGGCCCGGAGGGGAGACGCGGCCGCCCCTGACTCGCTGGACTGTCCTCAGGTTGGAACGTGGGGTGGGACAGGCTCTCCATGCCGGCTGTGCGTGAGAACCACCTGAATTTCACTTCACAGCTCTGTTGCCCAAGCTGCTTCCCAGACAAATCGAATCTCACCTCTGGAACCTGGGAATTGCGAGCTTCCCAGTGGTTCCAGCGTGTGTCCATGTGGAAACCCAGGATCTGAAGTCAGGAAATCCAAGTCTTAGCCTGGAATCTGCCACTTACCCGTAGGGGACTTGCCAGTGATGAAAGTTGAACAACCTTCCGTGAGCACTGGCGGATTGCCCCTGCAGATGCTGCCATGGTGATTCAGGAAGCTGAGGCCCAGAGAAGCCATGTAATTTGTCTCAGGTCACACAGCAGGAAATTATGAGGCCACATTTGCTAGGCATTTCCCAAACACAATGGAGAGGCAGCTTAGTGGGCAGGATTTGCCAGGGAGTGGAGGTCCCGTGGTTCTGGGAGGATAGCTCCTTAAGGCCCACACCTGGTCTGAAGTTTCCAGCTTTCAGGGTCCTCTTCTCGGGCTGGAAGATCACGGTCTGAGGCTGGTATACAGGGCACGGGAGAGAGGTGGGCTTCAGAAACACCCCAGCCTGGGGCCAGCTCTCCTGCCAGGCTCCACCTTAGTGGCACGCTTCCTACCTGATGCGGCAGCGGCAGGTGGTGGCAATTCACCTGCTCCTCCTGCCCCGGCCCCAAATCTGCTGGTGAAGCGGCCCACCTGTGTCCACGCCCCTGCTGAAATGGCACTTCCCAAACACGGAGCAGCCTCTTCCTGCTCCCCTGGCCCCTTCAGCTTGGGATGGGGAAACCCGGGCCCTTCTCCTGGGTTCAGATGCCCAGGGCCATCACTGGGGTCACTGTGCGCCTGTTCCCCGGGGATGAGAGCCGTTTGGGCTTCGTGTTGGCTGCCTCATCAGGGGGCACAGGAGTCCTGGCACTCGTCCACCCTGGGAACAGTTTGGGTGGTCACGAGGTGTGGTAGGGGATGTGCCATTGGCCTCCAGTGGGGAGAGGCCAGCCACGCTGAAGACCAGAGGACTCTCAGCTGGAATGTCGTCGTATTGAGGTTGAAAACCCTGTCCCCAGGGGTCAGAGTGAGTTGCTACAAGGAAGAAATTCTAAAGAAAACGGTGAAATGTACTCTCCACGATGCTGTCTACCTACAATGACTTCAAAGGGAGTTTGTACTGGAAACACCTTTTCTCCTGTGAGTACCGTTGTCCCTTGCTACCTGGGGGACGGTTCCCACGTAGGAAGTGGCACCGTCTTGCATACAGCCTGTGCACAGCCACCTGCAGGCCTCGACTCCTCTCTAGATGCTCACAGCACTGAACACCGGGAAATCAGTTGTTAAACTACTTTGTTTAGGAAGTAATGACAAGAAGAAAAAGCCCAGCATGTTTAGTACAGATGCGATTGTTGTTTCGGAATATTCTCCGTCATTATCGACAGATTCCAGGACTCAAAACTCACCAACACAGAGGGCACCCTGTGCGGTGGACTCACACCGAGGTCCCGTCCTAAACTGTAAGTCTCTCTTGAACAGTCACCAAAAAAGGCACAAAAACCACATGACTGAGAATTGATAAACCGAGATCCTTAAAAATCACCTAGCGGTGTTCTGGTAACGGGTTAAATTAACGAAGACTAACTCCCAGGAGCCTCATGAGCTGCAGGTTTGAGGAAGTGGACGGGGATCGGTGTCAACGCTGAGTCCCAGACACCACCATCAGGGGCAGTAGTATCCCCTGCTCCTGTGCTGCCTGGGGTATTTTAGGTTTTGCGGTTCACACACTCTGTCTCCTATCCGGAACCGTGAACACTGTGGAAGTGAGCAGGTGTGGGTGTGTCCTGAAGGGACTCGATCCACAGGACCAGGTGGTGGGCTGGGCCTGGCCCCGGGGTGGAAGTTTTGACTTGGCTTAGCTTTCCCTTTTTATTTTATACCAACCATGAACTTGTGGGTGTTGTTGCATCAGGAGAAATTGTGAAGACACACAGGGATGTTGGCGTGTCTCATCGCCTTCAGCGAGATCCTACAAGGAGCAGATCTTGGACTGAAACAGAATGTGGCTTTGCTGAGCCCATTTCTGCCTGGGACCCGCCATCTACATTGCTGCAGATTCGTGACCTAATGACGGGAAGCTTTGAAGGACAGGTGGATTCAACTCAAGGTCAGAGAAGCTCTGGGAAGGTCCAGGCCGGATTTTCGGCCTGTTAGGCCATGTGGTTGCTATAGCAACTCGCCCACCCAGGTGGGCAGGCCCCAGCACGCACTCTCAGCACAATTGGGCGTGGCGGTTTCCAATAAAACTTTATGGACACTGAAATCCGAACTTCAGACCCTTCCACAGGCACCCAGCACTCTCCTTTTCACCTTCCCCCAACCACTTAGAAATGCAAAGGGCACGATCAGTTCACGGGTCAAAGAAACAGGCGGCCGGGCAGATCGGGTCAAAGAAACAGGCGGCCGGGCAGATCCGGCCAGTCGGGCTCTCGTCTGTGTCCTGGATGTCCCCTGTGAAAGGCCGTTGCAGGCTCCTCCCACAGGTGTCCCTCCCTCCATCTCTGGCCTCAGGTTGATACAGTGGGTCTCACTCCCGGCTCCGGCCAAGTGTGGGAGCGATAGTGAAGGAACAGGAGCCGGCGCAGCCACCAGACACTAGCTCTGGGTGCTGGAGTGGAGTCTCAGACGTGGAGATGGGGCCAGAGACCAGGGTTGTCATGAAGCACCCAGCGCCCGGCAGTGCGCATCCACACAGCCACACACACACTTGGTGAATGAATGACAGAGGAACGAAACTCCGGCTTCTGCAGGAACCAGCACCCATCTGCCACATGCATCCAAGAAGACAAAACCAGCACCACATAAACCAGGGCACGCGTGCTGGAGGCTCTGGGTCACAGCCAGCGGCGGAAGACAGAAACAAAGGACGTGGACAGGATCCCCCTGGGAACTTCAGGTCACAGCCACGTGGAGGCCAGGAAACGCGGGTCCCCCAGAGAGCGCTCTGGCTGCCTTTGGCTTCCCTTGAAGATTAAAGAGACCTTGGAGGGGGAGGGGAAGGCATGAAAGGCCCTGTGCACGCGCCCTTGGTCTCTGGGGCTGGACCCTGCAGCTTTCAGCAGAGCACGCTCCCGCGATGATCTGATCTCCATCCTGACGCCACCCTTTAAAGCCAAGGTCTTTATTAACGTAAACGAGGGAACAGGACCCGTCACGTATTTCCCACTTGCTCAAGACGGTGCTGGAGATCACCCGCCAGGCAGGGGCGTGGGATCCTGTGCCCTGCAGAGGTGGCCACCACGCCAGCCCTGAGAGAGCAGAAGTGGAGGTGACCTCCAGTGGCTTGCTGTAAGAAGCCCAGCGCTCTCACCTTCACGAGACACCCACGGACCCCGCCGCTCCCAGGCGGCATCTTGACCCTAGGTATCATCACGCCAGGGAACATCCGAGTCTGCTGCTCTGAGCAATTCGTTTTAAATTTTATTTTTCACGTACAGTTTCAGATTATACAAAACATAGAAAATGGACTATTTTAAAGGCACAGTAAGCAGAAAGTCTCTAACTGCCCTAAATTCACATGTGTCCCCAAAGCAAGCTTCTTCAGTAACCTCTCAGCCTTCCCCTGGAACCTCCCCATCACCGGCGCCTTCCCATGGACAGAATGGCCGAGTTGCTCTTTGGTGAGTCACCTGTAAATTATCAGCGAGTTTAGTGATGCACTCCCCACGCAGGAGGCCGCCGCCTTGGGTCTTCACCGTGGGGTACGGCGGAGCGTCCTTGGGTCAGCCTGGCCACACACAGGCACGACCCGCGGCAGGGGGCGGGCGCAGGGAGCCCCACGCTCCTGCATTCAGACGTCCTGCAGGGTGACGCGCCAAGCAAGCTCCAAACTCGTTTGAACAGAGACCCAAAATAATTTTAATGCAAATAACAAAACAAGTTAGTCTGTCCCCATCACGTGCCCCCCATGAAAGAATTACAGTACTTTATAAAACGTCATAAGATGCGCAGACTACATTCCTTCCAACACCTAGCGGATTTGGTCCTGATATTGCTTCTTGGATGTCCAGCTGATTTGGTGGACGAGGAGCACCAGGTGGGTCTGTCTACCTGCAGGAGGACGAGGGGCAGCCGCCCGCACCCTCCCGACTTCCCACACGCCTCACCACAGTCGTGTCACAGACGGAGGGACCTAGCGCAGCCCACCGGGAGACCCCGGGCTGCTCCAGATCAGGGGTGACAGGCACTCTGTGGCCCCAGAGCTATTTTGTCGGGGGATTCATGCCTTGCATGGGGGTTGGGCCTTCTACAGCCCTGGTTCTAAGGGAGTCTGATTGTTTGTTGTGAATATCAGAAAGTTCTAGAAAAGCCACGTGGGGAGGAAGCCTAGGGGAGGGCGCCCAGACCCAGCCTCCTCCTGCAGCATCCTGCGACCCCAGGGGTGCAGCTCGCGTCCTTGCCCACAGTGAGCCTGGTGACCCTTTTCCATGGGGTCAGCAGGGGACCATCGTCCTGTCTCTGGCCCGTGGCACTGGGCTGACAGTGACCCCTCCACAGAGAGTGGGTCCTGCTTCAGAGATGGCAAACTCCACACGGGAGCCCCCCACCCCCGGGGCCTGGAACACGGAAAGTGCTTAGTCCAACTGGAAACCCGCGAATGAGTGAAGAGGCTGCTCTGCACTGAAGGGGCCTGGGTGACCCTGAAGGGACTCGCATGGGACTCTCCCCGGCTCCACCTCCGCTGGGCTGATGGCAGACCACCCGGTCAGGCCCAGGTATTTAACAGCCCACGATCCCCTACGCCACCCCAGGGTCCCCTCCCGGGGGATTCGCAAACACAAGAGGAGAAGGAGGCTGAGGTACAAGGTCGGCTCCTGCCTGGGACGCGCTCCGTGACGAGCCCAGGACGCGCTCGGAATCACCAGGAGTGCTCACTCCCGGCCCCCTGCCCTGGAAGCCTGGGGACTATGGCCCTGGGGGATGCGCCCCTTGCTGGCTGGGGACCCCGACCCTCCATGGAAGCGTCCTCCGGCCACCACGCAGACAGGTACTGGGCAGAGCCCCAGTGTCGGAGTCAAGTGGAGCTATGTTCAGAGGGAGCTGACCGCCCGGAGCTGTCGGGACAGGTGGGCACCGAGCTCCATCACGGCCTCGGCTCTCCTAACTGGATTCTCCTCTTTCTTCTCCACCAGATGACGACCCCGTGAGTCCCCTGCGCCTGCCGGTGGCAAGCATGCCATCACTTATGTGGACGAACGCATGAATGGAGGACAGGGGTCAGGGAGGCTCGCCAGCCTCAGAACGCAGGACAGGAAGGGAGGCCGGGGAGGAGGCTGCACAGCCTCCGGAGGTGTCAGGGCTGGGAGAGGAGCTCCGTGGCCCAGGGTGAGAACCAAGAGGGGCGGGGGGGCTGAGGTCTGGCCTCAGTGGGGCCATCTGACATGACCAGGCCACCGACATGTCCAAGACGGCTCTGCCACTCGGCTCTGGGAGGTGGTCCCCAGCCCTCAGCCATCTAGGCATCTCGTGGGAGCCCACTAGGAATGCAGCTGGCAGGCCGTCTGCTGGACGCTGGCTCTGCGGGGCTGGGGCGTCCACAGTCTGCATTGGAAGATGCCCTAAGGAACTTTCTGCAGCGATTCTTTGCCTTAATGCCTTAATCTGACACCCGGTTCCAGACCCCTGTCCCTGACGCGAGCAGAGACGCTGTCAGCAGCTCTGGGCTGCGGCCCGCCTGCTCCAGGAGGCCGGGGGCCGCTCACCACAGACCCAACGCCAGCCCCATGCCTGTTCTCACCCGGGGCTCAACGCTAAGGTCGCCCCCCGCCTGGCCCTTTTGGGAGGAAGCTGAGGAGGCTGCCTCCTCCCTGCCCCGCTTCAGAAGCACCCGCCGCCTTTCCCGGTCTCCGCGGCTGGATGGGCCTTTGTCTTGCTCGGGCTTTTGGGTGGGCAGCAGTTCTGAATGCCAGTCGGAATGCCAGTCTCCTCTCTCATCCCAAGAATGCAAGAACGCTTCTCTCTCTCTCCCTCTCTCTCTTTTTTTTTTTCTTTTTTTGGCTTTTAAAGGAAACAATATGTTTGCTAGAAAAACCACAAAAAACGATTATATACAAAACGGTTATCTGAGTGTGGACTCTGAGGTGCAGGGAGGGTGCGGGCGCCGGGGGCTACTTGCGCTTCCTCAGAATCAGGTACATGATGCCGCTGATGAAGGTGAAGGCGAAGGCCACCCAGGCCAGGATGAAGGCGTAGCCGTACCTGCCCTCCGACGTCAGGGAGTAGTAACGCGGGTTGTTGTCGTGAAGGTCCTGGCGCCGGTCTGTGTAGATGGCAGCCGCGATCATCACACACAGACCTGCCAGAAAGAAAGTGGGGGCTCTGTGAACCACGTCCACCGCGCTCCGGGGAGCCGGGGAGCCGCCCACAGGAGGGATGAGCCTCATCCCCATCCCTTTTCATATTTCTATTTCGACAGGGTCTTGCTAAGTTGCTGAGGCTGGCCTTGAGCTTGCGATCCTCCTGCCTCGGCCTCCTGAATGCGCCACCTGCCTGGCTCACAGCACAATACTGCCATCTACCCTAAAGCCACATTGCTTCCTAGCTGGAACCTGTTTTGTGTGGGCAGCCAAGAACCCAGTCCAGAGGTCACGTCACTCTTGGTCTAAGCCAGAGGTCAGCAAACTTGTCCTACAAAGGGCCACGAAGTAAATAGTTTAGGCTTTCAAGGGCTAGAGGAGTCAGCACTGCTCGACTCTGGCCGGAGCGTGATGGCAGCCAGGGAGAGCACATTAAAAAACGGGAGTGGCTGTGTTCCAATAAAACTTTATTTACACAAACACAGGGCAGGCCAGATTATTTGTCACCCCAGTTTACTAGCTAAAGTTCATGGACACAACTGTATGTGACCCTAGTTCTGGCCAGAGAAAATTCATCAGTGAAAGATATTAGCCCCTGAGAAGAGATGAAGGAGGAAAAAGCATATTTTAATTGTTCTCCTTCTCCCCTGCTGAGTGCTTTAGATACTATCAGATCAGGATGAAGCGTCTGGACTTACAGTAGTAGCCCTTTGGGGGTCATGAAGAGGCTGTCACTCACAGTCTGAAGGTGACAGACTAGAAGGATGGGAAGAGACGGGGTGCTTGATGCTGTGAGCCATCAAACCAGCTCTGGCACTTTGAACCTACGGGCCACTTGTTATGACTATCTTTATGGCTAAAGTCACTGAAAATTGGCACAGCCACAGAATCGTAGCTGAACACTTGATGACATTCACAGAGGTCAGTGCCAACAGGAGGCTACGCTCCCTGATTGTCCTTAGGACCCTGCCCTGGTCCAGCCAGGCTGTCTTTGTGGGACTGTCCACCCAGGGGCCCAGACTCCTCTGGGCAGCTTATAACAACGAATGGTCACGTCGTGGAGTGGACGTCTCCATCCACTTTCTGTCTTGCTAAACTTCATAGGTGCAAAAGTGCTGTGCGACCTCCACCTTCTCTAAGTTCCTCCAGGACCAGGACCAGGCGGTCATCTCTTACCTCCAGCGGGCAGCAGGGGCTTGGCCAAGGTGGCAAGGTGGGCCCTTCTGCCACTGACCAGCCTAAACTCTGCTGGTGGCTCCCGCCAGCTTAGGATGAAGACCCCAAGTGCTGTCCATGGCCTACAGGACCCCACGGGTCTGGACCCCCGCTGGCCCACCTCCCACACCTCCCCTCCCCACTGGCCACGCTGCTCCCCGGCCAGCGCGCTGCCCCCTCCCCGCTGCCCCAACACAGCACAGGGGTGACAGCGGCTCCTGCACCCTGACAGGCCCCTGCTCAGCTTAGTGCCTTTGGGGGGCCTTCCCTGTCCCCAGCTAACCACGCTCTCCATACACACTGCCCCGGGGACCGGAGGGGACCGCTGCCCACCCTCACTCACACGACAGCAGCTGGATGATGGAGGTCAGCACGAACCTCGCTCCCTGCTTGAGGCGGAAGAGCTGGAGCAGGAAGATGAAGAAGGCGATGCAGCAGAGGGTGGTGGACAGGATCATGGTGGCCTGCACCGCCTGCAGCGTGGCGTAGCCTGTGGGCAGAGGCCGAGGGCCAGGCTGAGGACGCAGCCCACAGCCACCAAGAGAGCCGCCCGCCGCCTCCCAGGATGTGCCTGGGCATCTGGGCCCAGGGCAGCAAGGAGCCCCCGACCCTCCCCGACAGCCACACGCACCCCTGACGGGAGGCCCCGACGCCCTTATCTGGGAGGTGGAGGGGGAGCCCCTCTGCAGGCCCTGGGCTGGGGCACGGCTCCCACCTGCGGCTCGCAGGGGGTTAAAGTGCCACCGTCACATCACCCTGGAAGATGCGATTCAAGAGGCCAGGCCGGGGCCTGGGAGGGTGCGTTTCGGGCCGGGGGACTGTGTAAGGAGCTCCTGACAGCCCCGAGGACCCAGGGTGCCCCCGAGAGAGGACGAGCATGGTGACCCCACGAGGAAAAGAGGGCACTCCTTTTTCTGAGACCAGCTTTAACAGGGTGAGAGGCTCCAGTGCCGGGAGGACAGGCCTCAGGGACAGAGTCCTCTGGGGGGGGACAGCAGGGTGGAGCACCGTGGGCCCAACAACCACAGGTGGAGAGTACTCAGGAAAAACACTCGAGAGCGCCAGAGAGCCAGCCTTGGACCTGCCTTGCCCGGGCCCTACGCGGAGCCCACCACCGAGGTGACCCGCGGGCACCGACTCGGGTCTCTCAAGGAATCCAGAGGTGACCTGAAGCGCAGAAGGCCGTGTGCAGGTGGCATCTCTGCAGACACGTGGCACTTCATAGAGGGGACCTGGGCATCTGCAAGCCACGCTGTGCTCAAGGGTCCTGGCCCAGTGCCCTGCAGCTACAAGGGACCTGGGGTGGGGCTGGGTTTTATTCTGGTTTGAACCAGAAAGAACCAGACCCCGTCGCAGAGCTTGCAGAAGGGAGGCTGGATTCCCTCTGGTTTTCAGGGCAGCCTTCTCCGACTCCTGTGGGTGACGCTGGCTGGGTCAGGGGCAGAGACAGAAAGTGCCCTGGGTGACAAAGTGGGCCCTCATGAAGCAGGAGCCAGACCGTGAAGCCCGCCGGCTCGCGGACCTTATTCTCTGTTCTGTTCTGGTTTGGGGTTCTTGTTCTTTTTAACTGCTCTTTACAAGTGTAAGAACCCATCTGAGCTCTGAGCCCACTCCAAAACCGGCCTCAGCTGAACTTGGCCAGCAGTTCCCTGACCACTGCCTTAGGGACAACCACAGCAAGTGGTCCCACAGGCTGTGACAGACCAGCAAGTGACACAGGCTTGCTTGGGACGTGGGCACACACTGGCCACAACTGGGTTTGCCAGGTAGGAAGAATGGCGGTCCCTGGGCTGAGGTTCAGCGTGACAAACAGAGCGGGAGGGGTGGCACTGAAGGCTCCGTGTGGTTGGCTGTTGGTCATGGTCATGTCTAGAAGGAGTCCTGGCTCCATCGACTGCTTCTGCCTGGGCCACTTCCGGCAACACAACTGCTCTCGGCCTTGGTTTCCCTATGGTTCCCGCCTGGCGAGGCTGGGCAAGAAGGGCTCAGCCCTGCTCAGGGCGGAGCTCGGGGAAGCACGCCGGCCACTGGTATCTCTGCTGCTGTGATGTGAACGTGGATGCTGTCCCCAGGCAAGCACTTCACCACGGAGCCCCAGCCCCAGCCCTAGATGCCGCTCTTCCTGCACAGTGAGACCCTGGGACCCAGAGAGAAGCGCCCTCTGCTCCCAAATCAGAAATCAGTTGTCAGCACCGAAAGAGGGTGCCCAGGTGAACCTGAGTGTCGGTGAACAGTGGCTGATCCCAGGCGTGAGACTGCCTCATGTAGGACGTGGGACATGCTCATAAGAAAAAATGACTCGCTGTTTATCGGAAACACCCATGTAACCGGGCACCCCGTATTTTGTCAGATACGAGGGATCCCAAAGTGCATCTTGACTTGGTTCTACCGGGTCAGCTGTCCTGCACAATGAGTGAGAGACAGCGGCTGGGGTGCGGTTTTCAGGTGGGGGTGCAGCTCAGTGCTGGGGGGTATGCTTCGTACGCAGCAGGGCCTGGATTCAATCCCGACACCACAGAATTAAATTTGAAAATGTAGTTTTCTGTATCTCCAAAGCCCTTTTTCATATTTGAGCTCATTTAAACGGACGTGTAGCGGGTGTGGTGGCCCGCCCTGTTAGCCCAGTGACAGGGAGGGGGCTGAGGCGGCAGGATCACAAGTTCAAGGTGAGCCTCAGCAACTTGGCAAGACCTTGTCTCAAAATACAAAATAAAAAGGCCCAGGCTGTAGCTCGGGGTGGAGTCCCGAGTTTAACCCCATGCGTACGCAGAGGTGAGGGCGGCTGAGGGCTCTGGGGTCCTCCAACACTGGGGACCAGCCCAAGGGGCAGAAGTGCTCTGGGTTTCTGCCACAGGGGGTGGCTGCAACAGGGGACGTGGCCAGGCGTGGACCAGGAAGAGGCAGAGGGGACCCAGACGGGCTGAGGCTGCAGGAAGGGGAAGGCGGGAAGCGGAAGAGGTGAGGCCCAGCTCAGCAGGACGGGTCCTCCTCCCCCTGTGCTGGGTGCGAGCAGACCCCCTGGCCCGCCTCTGCAGGGGCACAGGTTCCTCTCCACTGTGCCTCCTCGGCCAGCTCCCACCATCCACGCTCACCTTCAAAGTGGTCACCGATTTCCGTACAGTTGGTGCCATTTGTGCACACTCTCCAGACGTCGGCGTAGAAATCCTCTCCCACCCACCAGGCCTGCAGGGAGACAGGGAAACGGGCAGTTAGAGAGGTGCCTCCTTGCACGTCCTACTAGGACATTTTTAATTGTCCCAAGTAAGGGCAGAGGTGCTGCTGGCACCCAGACAGAGGCCAGGATGTTGCTAAGCCAGGCACAACACACGGGAAAGCCCCGGCAGTGCTGAGCGGAGCGGGGTCCGCAGGAGATCCGAATTCCCAGGACCTCTCGGAGGAGAGAACGGGTCGTGTCCTCCAGGCCCTGCCAATCAAACCTGAACATGGGTGCTCCAGAAGCCCCACGCTGAGGCCAGAGTCTCCATGCCTGGGCTCGGGGCCACGGGGCAGGGAGGACGCCTCCAAACTGCCATCAAGCCAACGGAGGGCACAGGGGCCTCAGAGCACTGGATGTTCTCCAAGCGGGCGGGGAGGGGACTTACGTTGTCGATGGTGGCCACAAACAGCAGGGCTGCGGAGGTGATGTGGAAGATGATGATGAAGGCAAGGAGCACCAGCATGGTGGCCGAGCAGGGCAGGCGGGTGGCCAAGGGTCACGGGGGTCACGGCGAAGCCCAAGCAGGGTGCGCTACGGAGGGGGGCACAGATTCAGATTTGTCACGAAGCAATACAGTTCAGTGGGGTCTTAGGACAATCAAGCCAGTTCTGTCATCTTTCCTGGCCCGGGGTACACTGGACCAAAGGTGGCAGGAGGAGCTGTCCCCCGTTAGACCCAGCAGCCGGGAGTTCCTGGTGCCACAGGGAGGCGGGGACCAACCAGAATCTCTAATTCTGAACGGTGCTTCAGCTGACTGCGGCACAGATCGGGAAGGAGGGGCTCTGCGGGTTAAAACGCTGTTCCCCATCCCTCCATCCCAGAAACTCGGTGAGCATTCACTCCCACAGGCCCTGCTTAGGAAAAAGCAGAACGATCATGGTAGGAAAAGAGTTGTTGATGATCTGGCCACTTCTGAAATCAGCCCCCACTCAGACATCCCTCCTCTTAATACCATTTGAACAACACTGGCCCGCAACATACAAAAACACCCTTCGACCCACAGCTGCCATTTCTCTTCCCTCTCTCTGAGCACAGCAGGAGACTACATTTCCCAGAGTCCTTTGCAGCTAGGTTGGGGCCAAAGGTCATTTCTGTGGGAAGCCTCTGTGCTCCCTCCCCCAGGGAGTGGCTGGGGACAGCGCAGCTGTGGCGTGCTGAAGCCTCACACCCTGGACAGGGACGCACTGAGAAATAAGCCTTTGAATGTTAAGCCCCCGAGATCCCAGGGTGGTTTTTTTTTAATTCTGGTAAGACATTCTGAGTGCTATACAACAGGAAGTGGTTGCAAGACGAAATTGGAGACCTGCAGAAGACCTCAGGCCGTTCTCACCCACAGGCGACTCTGGATCCTTCTCAAAGGGGACCAGAGGCGGTAACTCGCGAGAACTTGTCGGAGCTGGGCTGGTTCCCAATAAAAGATGGGAAAAATAAACCGAGGTGATGGGGGAGAGCGCATTGAAAAGGACGACTTCCACATCAGGGGTTAAAGTCCCATGGGGAATGTCGACCAAGTCTGAACACTTTTACGTACATGACCATCGGCTTGGTCAACAAAAGCCAGATGCCAAGTGAAGATGTCACGTCAGCCCCCCAAATCAACAGGGGAGTCACTCCTCTTTCATTCCTGTAATTTGTGATCAGATTCTATTACCAAATCTTATAGAACATAAAATTAATTAAAAATAGTTAAAAATCAGACCTTGCTTTGACCATGATAAAATTTTTGCCCAATTTTAAATGGAATAAAACATATGTGCATGGACACACACATATTTTTTTACCCACCACTTGTCTAAACCAAACCTCTTTCTCTAAATACTTCAGTGCAGTTCTCAAAAGCAAGTCCAATAAAACTAATTATAACAAATTAACAACAAAAAAAAAAAAGTCCAGGGGCTGGGATCATGGCTCAGTGGTGGAGCGCTTGTTTCCCATGTGGATTCGATCCACATAAAAATAAATAAAAATGAAGGTTCATCAACAACTAAAAATTAAAAAAATTTAAAAGCGAGTCCATTTTCTCAGGTAGCCACAGTACGATGACCACAACTATGAAATTCAGCATGATACAATGCTGGTACCTCATCTATTCAGACTTCTCTAATTATCCCAATAATATTTCATGTAGCTTCTTTTCCTGGCCCAGGATCCAGTCTAACATGGTGGGTTGCATTTTGCCATCAAGACTCTTTAGTCCCCTTTAGGCTGGAATGGTATTTTCTTTTCTTCTCATGACAGTGGTAGAAGACTGCTGACCATTGTCATGGAAAATGCCTGGCGAACGTGCCTTTGAGGTGTCCCCGTGGTCCGCCGGGTTGTTTTCCTGGCAGGACAGACACTTCACAGGCAATGTCTCCCGTGTACCCCACCAGGGAGCACGGTGTCAGACGGGCTCTTTATTGATGGTGCCTACTTTGGTGGGTTGTGATCACTCACTGCACATTTTCTTTTGTAATTCAACAGTCATTTCAGGGGAAGATAATTTTTTTGTGGTAAAACACACACATTATAAAACCTGCCCTTAGTGACCCATCACCCCATCCAGTTCTAGAACATTCATCATCCTAACAGAAACTTGGCACCTTTTAAGCACTCACTCCTCCTTTTCCCCTCCCCACCACCCGGCATCCACGATCTGCTTTCTGTCTCTGAGGATCTGCTCGCTGTGGCATTTCATATAAATGGAGTCACGATATGTGGCCTCTTCTCTCTTTCAGCATGTTTCAGGGTTCATGCCTGTTGAAAGACGGGGAGCTCTTCCGAGATCACGCAGAGACCCTCTCCATGGAACTTTCATTTCCAAAATAGGATCATTTAAGACGGCCCTTCTCTGGCTACCTTTCTCTCCCTTCTCCGGTGAACATGCAGGAACCACTGCGGGAGCCCTCCGAGCGCCTCTCTGCCAGCTCTTCCCTGGGACCATGACCACTCTCCCTCTGTTACCCCCTCCTGGAACTCACTGAGGCTCCTGGACTCACACAGGGGCTACGCCCGGAGACCCAGGACTCTCCAGAATGAGCCAGGAGCTACGTGGCTGCCCCCTCGGTCTGGGAGGCCCCGGCAATGCTGTGCACCACCAGTTGGAAGGACCCAAGGAGCCAGCTCAGAGATTCTTCCAATTCTTTTCAAATGGACAAATTCCCCTTTGTTCAGGCCTGCGTCATTCCCAGTTGCCATCGTAGGCTGCCTCCAAATAGATGCATTTCTGACCCTTGGAAAAAAGCTCACGAACCACCTAAAGGCCATGTCACTTAAATATGGGCTGGAATGTCAAAAGGCCAAGTTCTTCTGGCCATAAACTCCTGGATGATGATAGCTTTATACACTGTCCAGCTTAGACAACACAAAAGCCTATAGACATAAAACCAAAACTTTCTAGAAAAGGAAAAGAGGCTTTAACCCACTCTTTCCCCAAGCGTGAAATCCAAATGTTACAAGGATTATCTTGAATGGTGCATTGACAGAGCGCATTCAACCACACGATGAGAAAGTCCCCTCCCAATGCTCCTGACTACACCAAGAAACAGGGCCAGTCTGTCTGTCACACCAATCTTGTTTTTTGAAAAGAAAAGACAGAGCTTTGTCAGACCATAGTTTGTAACTAGGATTTAATAACATTTTTGAGTTTATTATATTTATTTTCAAGGTTCTTTCTTTTTACAGTAATAGATTTATAGTAATGATGAAAAGTGACACTTCAAAACAATTTTATTCAAGTTTTACTTAAAGAAAAATATTATGTTAGTAAAGAGAGGGGACCTCAGTGTTAGCAAACCCTGAGGGTGGTGCTCAAATGCTGGATGCCTGGGAGGTACTGCCTTGACCCCTGGGAATGATTTTGGTTGGAAACCTCAGACATGGGTCGCTGCAGAGGAAGGGGTGAGTTCTTACTAGAGGTCAAGTAGGGTCTGGGTCCGGCCTAAGGGAAGGGCTGGGGCCAGATGTGGAAGGGAGAGTGAGACGTTCTGGACCACTGGGGCCCGCGAAAATCGGGGCACAGGGAAGTCCATGTCACCAGTCTGCAAGAGGGAACAAGAGTGGCTCTTCACTCCTGCGCCTCGATGCAAAGTGAGTCTCCTGGCCCCACCACCGGCCCTGGCCAGTCCCCCAGTCCCTTCCTCGAGGTCACCGCCCTCCAGTTTCCCACGCAGCCTTCCAGAGACGCTCCTTAGGAGGAACACTTAATTCCCTCCCCCTCCGCTTTCCGCGTGAAGGGAGCAGCGCCAGAGTAACACTTCCGCCCCACGCCCCGCCCCTCACTCACTCCTTCGCTCCTGATTGGAGGAGACATCCACGGTCCGCTTTCCGGATTGGCGGAGCTCATCCAGGAGGGTGCCCGGACGCCCTCGGGGCCGGGCCTCCAGAGGTTGACCTCTAACCCCAGGCTCCCTCCTTTCTCATCTGAGGACCACCCCACGGAGACGGGGGAGTCCACCGCGTCCTTGGAATGGCTGCCTGGTGCCCCACCGCCAGAGCACCCCGTGGATGCCATCTAGTTCCCCCACTCTGGGCCAGAGCACCCCGTGGATGCCATCTAGTTCCCCCACTCTGGGCCAGAGCACCCCGTGGATGCCATCTAGTTCCCCCACTCTGGGCCAGGGCACCCCGGGCGGCCCCTGGGGGGAGCGGGAGCAGAGTCCCCGCGTGAAAGCTCTTGTACCTTAGTGTGAATTTCCGCTTCACGTACTGCATCCAGGACCCCATCGGTGCCACCTCAGCTGACCTTTGGAGGGCTTCAGGGGGCACCAAGTCCCGGGCCAGCTTG